TTTCAAGGCTTCCCGTTGAGCCTCTTTAATTTATGCGGACAAGTGCGAATAGATTGTCATAGTCAATGATTTGATTTTACGACCTGAGTATTCCTTTCGACTTAGGGCGTCTGCTACTACATTGGCTTTACCGGGATGATAACGAATTTTGCACTCGTATTCATTTAGTAGTTCGAACCACCTTCGTTGTCTCATGTTGAGTTCCTTCTGATTGAAAATGTGTTGAAGGCTTTTGTGGTCTTTAAAGATAGTGCTTTTCATTCCATACAAGTAGTGTCTCCAGATCTTTAGGAAAAAATAGCTGCTCCTAGCTCTTGATCGCACGTAGTGTAGTTAACTTCGTGTGTCTTCAGTTGTCTCGAGGCATAGGTGATGACCTTGTTGCATCAGAAAACAACCAAGCCCGTATATCCCGCTCTCCTTCCAGGAGACTCTGATTATAAGTACAGGACTTACGATGTACACTGGGTAGGTACGAGTGAAGGAGTGTCTCATAAGAGCCTTAACAAAATTTACGCAAATATTGAATCCCATTATTTAGTGTTATAAATAATGTTACTAGTGTAAATTTACGACTGCAGTTTATGACACACAATAATTATTGTTGTAAGTTTACACAGTTAACTAGAAGTGATTAAACATTAACGATAGACAGATTATGACATGCAACCTTCGTGTTATAAAATAAGTTTAGTTCACCAATTTGGTATATTTATTTATAAAATTCTTTTTATAAATATTTGAAGTTGAAACTAATATAATTAGGACATTTTTCCACAATTGTCAAAAATAGTCCATTTTTACCATAAGTGTAAAAAATAGCCCATTATACCATAAGTGTCAAAAAGAGCCCATTTTTACCATAAGTGTCAAAAATAGCACTTTTTTTACCATAAGTGTCAAAAATAGCCCATTTTTTACCATAAGTGTTAAAAATAACCCATTTTTACAGAAATGGTGATAAATGACCCATCGTTTACTAGAATGGTTATAAATAGCCCATTTTTACCATTGTTCAAACTTTCATGTCCAAATATGTTTCCAAATAACTTGAGACTTGTACAAAATCTCGAGTTCTTGATATCACATCATTTCAATACACATAAAAATATAAAACATACACATAAAGGAAAATATTCAAGGAATTAAACATGATTTTTGACTTGTATTCCCCCCCCCCCCCCCCGGCCCCAAAAGAATGAAAACCCGAAAACATGGCGTATGAAGTTCACCTTGGGTCCTTTTAGGTTTTAAAGAGGAAGATGGTGAAGGTTTCCGATCTAGGTTTACTTCCTTGAGGAGATTTTCTAAGTTGATATGGTTCCTAAGAAGTATATTCACGAAAGGAGAGAGTAAGTGAAAGATCCTTAACACAAACTTGGAACAAAGAAAAAGAGTTTGTCATAAATTTACCAAGGGATGAAACTTGAAGAAAATCCTCTTGAAAACACATACACAACTCACGATTTTCCGAGAAGAAAATAGAGAGATAATTCTTTGAGGGTTTAGAGGAAAATGAGATAAGTGTGAGTTTGAAATGAGAAATGGAGAGGGGATAAGGGGGTGTTTTTCCGATGAAGAGGGGAGGGGTGATATGTTTTGACTTTAGCTAGAGTTGATGTGAAGGTCTTAGATGCATGAAGGTTAATGCATGGTTGTATGAGATGTAAACTTGAGGTGGCATCACATTTATCCAATGTAGTCTTTTTTTTTTCTTTTTTTAGAATGTGCTAACAGATCGGCCCTGTAGGAGAAAGGAGAAAAAGATGTTTGGGCTTGAAGGGAAACCGAGAATACATTGGGCCCAATAAAAATTTTCGACCTATTATGGCCCATCTACGGTTTTTCAGTCCAAAAAGATTAACTGGAGGAGTTTTCGGCCCACAAGGAGGCTCAACATTGATTTTTGGCTTGATGAGCCCAAATAATGATTTTCGGCCCAACAATGGCCCAAATATGGGTTCCCGGCCCATATAAAGGTCAACTAGCTAGTTTTAGAGTTTTCTGGCCCAAAATAATACCTAATAGAGGTGTTTGGCCCATTATCATCTAAGAATAAATTCTTGCCGCCCAATAAGGCCCAATAAGGGTTTTAAAGCCCAAAAGATCAATTGGAAGGGTTGTCGGCCCATTAGGGCCTAGTAAGAAAGGCCTTGGTCTATTAAGAGGTTTGAACTGAGAAATCTTGGGTTAAGGCCGAAAGTTGAGTGGACATAGCTTATTGGGTTAGGTTTTGAGCTTTCACAATGAAGTTTTGACTTGAATCGCAATATTTGGATCTATAACTTGTATAACATTGAAGTTTGATTTATACCAAATGTAAGGTTACAATATTACACAAGGAAATTATTGTGCACAAGATAGAAATCTTAGCCCTAATTTGCTAGTTGTGACAGAAAAGATGGGGGTAATCTTGCATCATTTGGTCTTCGCGTTCCAATGTGAATTCAAGTCCGTGCTTGGCATTCCATTGAACCTTTATGATGGGAATACGACTTTGTGTTGTTCGCTTCACTTCTCTGTCCATTATTTCAATAGGTTCCTCAACAAAATGAAGGATTCCATTCACCTCAATCTCATCGAGCGGAACAACGAGAGTTTCGTTAGATAGACATTTCATCAGGTTTGACACATGAAAGATAGGGTGTATATTGCTGAGTTCAGGTGGTAGCTGGAGTTTATAAGCCACCGGACCAATCCTAGCATGAATTTTAAAGGGTCCGATGTATCTAAGATTCAATTTCCCATGCTTCTTGAACCATATCATCCCTTTCCAAGGAGAGACCTTGAGTAGTACGAGATCACCTATTTGAAATTCCAGAGGCTTTTGCCTTTTATCCGCGTAGCTCTTCTGTCGGTCCCTGGACGCCTTCAGTCATTCCCTAATTTGAACGATCTTCTCGGTTGTTTCTCGGATAATTTCAGGACCTGTAAGAGTGTTGTTAGGTACCAGTCCCTCTGCTAGTTGTGTGTCTCCTACCTCCGCCCAACAGAGAGGTGATCTGCATATTCGTCCATATAGGGCCTCGAAGGGAGCGACCTTGATGCTCGTGTGATAGCTAGCCAGTAGCAGGTGGGCATCCCAAGTCTTGCAGAAATCTATCACACATGCCCTTAGCATATCTTCTAATGTTTGGATGGTCCTCTCACTTTGTCTATCTGGTTGGGGATGGTAGGCAGTATTCATGTCGATCTGAGTTCCCATTGACTTTTGGAGTGACTTCCAAAATCTCTAGATAAATCTACTATCTCTATCGGAGATAAGAGATATCGGTACACTGTGCAATCTCATAACTTCCTTTATGTAGATCTGGGTCAGCTTTTCCATTTTATACGTCTCCTTTATTGGTAGGAAATAGGCGGATTTGGTCAATCGATCGACAATCACCCAGATGGCATCCAGCCCGTCTGCTGTCTTGGGTAATTTGGTTATGAAATCCATCATTATTCTCTCCGATTTCCAATCGGGTATTTCGGGTTGTTGCAGTAGACCTAAGGGCTTCTAATACTCTACCTTTACTTTAGCGCAATTTAGGAACTTGCTCATGTAGGTAGCAATTTCAGCATCCATATTCATCCACCAATAATGTTGTTTGAGATCCAGGTACATTTTGTCGGAACCCGGATGAAAGGAGTACTTTCTTTTATGGGATTCTTTCATGACTACATCTCTGAAACCACCGAACTTAGGGGTCCATATCCGGTCCATGAGGTAGTAGGCTCTGTCATCTCTGACCGTAAGATTCTTGTCAATCCCATGCAAAGCTTCGGTCATGATGTTTTCTGACTTCAAGGCTTCTAGTTGAGCTTCATTGATTTGTGAAGACAAGTGGGAATGGATGATCATCGATAGTGTTCTTACTCGGCGGCCTGAATATTATTTCTGCTTAGGGCGTCTTCCACCACATTGGCTTTGTCTCACTACAAGAAAAATAGCCTTTAATGACGCGCAAACAATGACACTCGCTGATTCACGTTACACATTTTTGGGTGTCCTTAAAAATAATATCAGACTTCCAAAATTTGAAGGATAGTGGACACGCATTTTTGCGTGCCCTTAAATTAGTGTCTCAAGAAAAAAAATTAAAAACACGGAGGGCGGTTTATCTTAAACGTGCGTCTTCTGTAGGTGTCGCTTTATAATTTTAAGGAAACGCGCGTTGAGAAGATAACGGGGGGAAACGAAACCCTAAAATTTTGAAAACCCGCCTTTCTTTTCTACCTTCTTTTCTTTATCTTCACAATCGACTCTCCCCTTTTGTTTCTCTATTTCGATGGTTGTTTCCCTCTTGCCCGAATCACGTCGTCGCCGCGAATCACACACCGCCAGGCAGTGGAAGAAGATGATGAAGTTTGTCGTTGTCGTATGCCGCCCTCCCTCGTTGTCTCTAACTATCTCTGCCCTTTCTTTATTCTTTGCTTCTATGATCTCAGCCTCCTATTCAGCCCTCTAAAGCCTTACTTGTAAGTCCACACCACACTTGTTCTTATCTTGTTATGGAAAATCAAGAAACTTTCGAAAAACCTTAGGGTTTCGCTGTGAGGCCTCGTTTCTAATTATCAGTATCGGATTTCTCCTTGGCTGAGGAGCCAGATTGACGAGACCTGTGAGAATTCTGAAATCGATCATTGCTCCCTGTGTGACTGTGTGAGGATACAGAGATTAATGGCTGCGATAGGGTTTAGCAAACCTCCTTATTTCTTCTCTACCAGGTATGATAAATGTTGGGTCAAGTCTCTAGCTCTGCATTCTCTCTACCTCTGTATTCTCTCTCTCTCTCTCTGGAAAACCCTAATCACCCTTCTGGTTTTCTGAACCAGGAGCAAGCGTGGTTTGTGTATTTGTAAACCCGATATAGAGATTTTTGGGTCTGATTTTTAGGGATTACCATAAATCCCCTTAAATCCAACTATTACACTTGTTCATTCATTCCCCATAAATCCCTTCATCTTGATTACGATCTACAAACCCCCTAAATCCCCCAGTTAGAGTATCTACCATGGATGCTCTACGCCGACCTAATCTCGATCTTAGTAATTCTTCACCCCTTTCATCAATTTACACCAAAGCCCCTCAAACACCAACCTTTTCAACTTTTCCCTATAAGTACCGATTATCTTCTTCCAGTTTCAATGGTTACCATAGCAAGTGTAAAGTACCAACACCACCTCAAGCTTTACCCAAGGCAAATTCGAACGAATCAGTTGAATCCACTAAGAAATGGATTGATTCAATCGCTAAAGGTTTGATCAGTGATGTGTGTAAAACTCACTTAGTTTTAATCCTACTTTAATTATCAAATAACACACAAAAGGCAGTGAACCTATCAATTGTGGTATAGCTAAATAAGCAGGGTATCGAACACAGGGAACAACAAATTAAATTAAAAACTAATTCTATCTAAGTTGATTAAGAAATAAGGGTTTTTCTCTAGTTTTACAAGACTAGAAACTTACTAACTATAACTAAATTAAGACTAGAAAATAACAATTTAACTAAATTCAATAATTGGAAAGGAACTTCTGTTTAGTTCAACTCGGTTGACTCTATGGTTGATTTCAAGGTAATAGTGCAATGGATTAATTCTTTCGTTGGTTACCGATTCAAGTGATTAGGTTCATGTTCACTATCCTAATCCTTAGCAAATAAACTAACTCAAACAGTGGCCAATTGCTTAATTTAATTATATTTACTAGATTAATTATTCGGGTTAAGTTAGACTTGCAATAGCTAATTAATTTATTATTCTTAATTAACCTCTTGTTTGATGGTCATCTTACAAGCTTGCACATGAATTTACTCAATTTTCTTATTAATTCTAGTTTCATATTCATTAATCCTAGACATATAGTATAGTGGTCACATATCATATGAGGTTAATAATCAATAGATGTTCATGCTAATCAATTATCTTCCTATTAACAGAAAATTAATTATTATTCATACACAAGGTTCTTTAGCAAGCTAAGATAACAAAAATTCACCAACTTGGAATTAATCCTACCAATCAATCAAACCATATTGTCAACTTTGTATCCCCAAACAGAAGTCTAAAGATTTTAGTTCATAATTAAAGTAAATAACAGCAAACAAACAAGTTCAAGTTGCTTAATCATATTGACAAAACAAAAGAATAACTAGAATGATGAAATTGTGCCTTAATTACTCCCGGAATTGAATTCTAGCTTTCTTTGTCGACTTCTAGGGCTCTTCTGGCTTCTTTATCGCAGGTTAGCACTTCTGAAACTTCCCAGAGTTCTTTTCTCTCGATCTGTAGAGTTATCTTTAAATAAGCGATCCGACTCGTCGAGTCAAGTGGTGACTCGTCGAGTCCCTCTCACATTCTCCGTATTACGATAACTATCCGGAATTCCGAATCATTATCCTTCTGATTCCTCGACCGGACTCGTCGAGTAGCTATCTGACTCGACGAGTAGAAGCCTTTTTTAGGTGTTTTTCTTCTTCATTCCACTCTCAAGCTCCTAACCGCTTCTCTTGCGTCCTTTTGCTTCCGAGCTTCATCTTTGGACTGAAAAACATAATTTAACACTTTTAAGTACCTTTTGTCCATAATATGCGATAATTTAGCTAATATATGAATAAAAACTATACGTTAATACACACTAAATATGCACATATCAATCAGGCTCGCTGCTGCAGTCTCTGTTTGTTTAGATTCGCCAGCTCTTGCCGAGTCCTTGACAATAGCATTCCCAGCTTCTCATACTCATGAGGTAGGTGTTCAGTTTGATCATCTTTTTTAGTAGTTTGTTTGGGTTGTGCAGATAAGGTGTTCGATCTATTGCTTATATGGGTTTGGTAAAATTTGATTTCGTAACAGGTGAATGCTGTGCAACAAACTCTCGTAGAGACTTGGGGTTTGATCAGATAAAATTTTGTTGATCCAACTTTTAATCATCAAGGTACGATTCATTTCTGTTGTTTTATGTCATTTAGTGTCAATAAGTTTAACGTAAGTTTATGTGTTTTCTATAGACTGGGACTCGAAATTCCAACAAACAATGGTGGAAATGCTTCCACTTAGAATAGCTGATGCCGCATACATCAAGATTAAAGGAATGCTTTCTACTCTTGGAGATCGCTTCACTCGCATTATCAGTCCAAAGGTGCAACTTTTCCCATTACTTTTACAAAAAATTATCCCTGTGGTTTCTGAAAGAGTTTTCAGTTTTGGACTAAAATTCAGAAACAATAGGGACCATTTTTGTAACTTATTCTTACTCCTAGATTCCAAAAAGGGAAACTTACTCTATTTTCTTTTTGGAAATGATTTGTACAGGAATACCAAAGTTTTAGAATTGGAAGTGATGGAAACGTGCAAGGAGTTGGACTATTTGTGAATACTGAACTAGAAACCGGTCATCTGGTTGGTGATGCTGAGACTTGAACCTAAGACCTCAGTTATGGATTCTTATTTATTTATTTTTTTTAAAAATTTAAAATTTTTTGTTTCAGGTTTTATTGTCTTGTGTTGAGGGTATCCCAGCTGCTAGAGCTGGAATACATGTAGGAGATGAGTTGATTGAAATAAATGGAAAGAGAGTTAAAGGGATTAGTGGTGAAGTTGCTGCACAAAAGCTTAGAGGTCATGTTGGGACAAGTGTTACAGTCAAAGTGCACAATGTAAGTTTCGTAGGAAGGAGTGTAATGGTTGATTCCTTTCCAAAGGGTTTTATAGAAATTTGTGCATGTTCACTTTTCTGATCTACAGGGAAAAAAGTTGGCCATTGACTCTAGTTTTAGAGAGGTGAAA